TACATTTAGTCAAGTGGCACCATTAAAAAGTAATTTGCTTACCAGTAAGCATACACTTGAGGAACAATATAGTTGTATCCTGGCACCGGTTTATAATTGTTCTTCCATCTTGTTCTGTTGTGGTATATTGGATAATATAATCTCACTGAATCACGAGAGTTGATAAATTAAGGAACCAAAGTGACCAATAGTCTACATTTTGTTCGTGTTGCATAATAGAACAATAACCAATTAGCGAGTCAATGCTGAACTCTTTTCTCTTTCAGTTTAAGCAACTGGATTGTAATGTCTGGACTCTGGATATTGCCTTGTCAATTGCTCGAGCTTCAAGCTATGTTGGAATTTAGGGTGGTTACTTACTTTCTTATTTCTCTGGTCTGCATTCTTTGTTCTGAACTGCAGAAAATATGTGTTCATTCTGGTATTCTTTCGCTTTCATGTGCATACAAAACATAGATATAAATTATGAATGGGCCCACACCAAAACAAATTCTAAAATGCTTCTTGGTTAAGTAAATCACTGAATACCGTTATCCTTTGTTTAATTTGAGGTAGATTAGATGTCTTGATGAATATTTAATTCTTGATTTCTTGCAGTACATGTCATTTCTTAATTGTTCTTTGACTACTTGTAGCAAAAGCTAGTATTTTCTGCAAGGTGAGATATATAATAAGTGTTTCATTTATGTTTCACCACCTCTTATCAGTTATTTTCTTGTCCATGTTTTTCAATAGTTATTGACTTATATTCTTCTCGTAGTAATTACCATTGGTGGTGCAAATGATCAAGTTGAACTGCTGAACAACAGTTGAGATGATTGTGCTGTTACATCTTCTCGTACGCTTTGTTGGTTGAAGAGGTGATACGACATCCTCTGTTACTATTATCTATTGTTTCGTTTGCAAGCACTGGATCAATATTCTCTTTAGTGGTAAAAAAAAATCCAGTGCTATGCACAATACAGCTGGAACCTTGAATAATGTGCATTATCGCCTACTTTAACCTTGTTCGCTTTTTCTCTTGGAGCTGGGAAACACTCCTCGATCTGCACAGTTTATAGTTCATTATGCTGACATGCTACCACAATGCAGTTTATCATATCAACAATTTTATATCATTTCTTTGATATCCTTTTGTCGTATAGTTGCATCAGTCTTCAGTCATGAGCTGGAGTCTTTGCATTTTAGAGAACACAATGACTGGAAGGTTTCAGTTCAATCTTCAGATATGAACTCATGCTCTCATTGTCACTAATCATCACCTTGAGCCAAAAGTATTTCGGTATTACTAGAAATCTTGCTAGTACAGTCTACTACTTGTTCTCTCTCTGTTGAGATGTGCAAAGAGACGAGAGAACAAGCTTAACTGGTGGAAACTGTTTTGCTAGTGCAGTTTGAACAGATATCGTTTTCTCTATATATTTGCCCCTTGTGATTGTGAGTAGCCAAAGTCGGTTCCGCTGATGAGATTGCTGCTGTGCAGGTTTCGGTCGGGCGGCAAATGTAGCTGTAAATGAAGTACTACTCCTTGAGAAATGTGTCGCTCGCTTGCAGAACGTGAGGAATTAATTGCATGATGTTGACCAACTGCAACGGTGGTTGGTAAAATATGTAGATCATCCTGTGAAATATTGTTGATGACAAGAGCCTGTTCGGGTTTGATTGGCCTCTGGTTGTCCATTTGTGGCTTTAATAATGCTCTGTAGCACATTCGTGCTGAACCAATATGTTAGGTTTTTCTTTAGAGATTCCTATGGCTTTGTGAGCTCTATGACTCCCCGCTAAAAATTGTCACAGTTTGTTCTTTCCTCTTTTGGGGTACCATCGCAATGTTGTGTAATGCACAAAGTTGAACTCTGCTAGTGTGATGGCATGGAAATATCCTGCAAATTTGAATTCTAGCTTCAGATGAGTATACATGCTTTTCTTTGGCAAATTGTCCAGAACGTGGAAATCGTGACCGAAGCAACGCAACTTGCTCGGGCCGTCGCGCTGTACCACAGCCCTTTTGTTTATATATGAACTCCGGCTTTTAGCCGGACGTTCAGCGTTTGGGTTCATGTCTAAGACTAAGGTGCCGGCATTTCAGCTTCAGAAATACATATGCAGAGCACGGTATAAATACAAGTACAGCGTGTGTCTGACAACAGTCACATCACAACGGCATGTCCTACATACACACAGATGCACGGTGGAGACGTTGTTGGAGTAGACGAGTGTAGCACGGTTTGGTGGGCGCCCGAGCTCGTGAAGTACTCGCCTCCACGACAGCGTGTGCGGCCATGCGATACTCCTTCTCGTGACCGGAGACAAGCGCCACCTGCCATTCCCCCCGGCCTATGAGGCTGCCCGGGCAGTGGAACTAATGGCACGATTCTCCGTGGGATCAACTATGGCTATTGCCAGCTTCGCCCTTTCCTCATTGCGTTCGTATTCAGTAACCAGATAAATTTCATCACGTCCGCCTGCGTGTACTCGTCCCAGACCGGCGTCTAGAATGAGAGCAGACTAGACGCTCTTATATTAAGGGATAGAGAGAGTATAGTTACGAGCAGACTATCATCACGAAAATAGAAGATGGACTTCTTGGTTTCTCCTGACTTACGAATTCAAGCACTATTTGTGGTCTAGTGTAGCTAGCACTGATGGGGTGGTAGCATGACAAATCACAGTCATTGATCTGGAGAGACTTCTTGCAACAGAAGTAGTAGCGGTGGCACGTATAGTTTCCAATGAAGCTGGTTGGCTATGCTGAAGATGCTGATGTGATCTTCCTTGGTGTGCATCCTAGCATCTACATGATCCATCTCAAGTCCATGCACGTCGAGAAGGTGTCAGCAATGGGGCCCTACAGATATGTTTTTCCTTACACAAGTTTCTACACTCCTGCAGGTACTACTGCAATTATTCTGCTATCACAAAGTTCACTTAACCTTCCAATGTGTATCTGCTTTGTAGATGCTTTCAAATGTACGAGCCATATATAGTGCGTTACAGATGACATTTTGAATGATGGGCCCTTCATACTCTGCACTCTGCAGATTATTGATACCCACATCCTTCTGCTGCCGATTTGTCATATCAACTCATTCTTCTCAGAGGAATCACCATTGGTGCTGGAGATGATCAAGCTGAACTGTTGAACAACACTTGAGATGATTGTGCTTTCATATCTGCTACCCACCGATTGTTGGTTGAAGAGGTGATGTGCTACCACAATGCTGTTTATCATATCAGACAATTTTATATCATTTCTTCGATATCCTTTTGTTTTATAGTTGCATCAGCCACGAGCTTGATTCTTTGCATTTGAGAAAACTCAATGACATGAAGGTTTCAGTTCAATCTTTAGATATGAACTCATGCTATCATTGTGTGGGTAGAATAATCTCATCTTGCTACTAATCACCAAGATTACCAGTCATGGGCAACATCTTGTGGTAATGATGCAATTTTTCTCACGGTAAACTTGCGTTCTAGCTTGAGATGAATCTACAGATGTTCTCCAGGGTTCAGAATTGTGACCACATGATGGTTTCAGTCTTTTATTAGCCGACCACAAGTCCAGGGGGCGCCCCTGGCTTGTGGCTGCCTGGTGGGTCCCTTGTTGATGTTTCTTTCGCCAATAATTTTTATATATTTCAAAATAATTCTTCGTCAATTTTCAGGTCATATGGAGTTGTGTAGAATAGGTGTCTCCGATATAGCCCTTTCCGGTCCAGAATTCCAGCTGCCGACAATCTCTCTCCCTTCATGTGAAACTAGCAAAATAAGAGAGAAAATGCATAAAAATTGTATCATAAAGTGGAATAAAAGTCCAAATTGCAATAAATATCAATAGAAAAACAAGATGCAAAATGGACGTATCAAACGGGCGCCCGCCAGTGCCCGCCACAGGTGAGTTATGCCAAAAAAAAATGTATGAAAGATTTTATCTGTGGCGGGCGAGGCAGAGCGCCCGCCACTGATGTTAAGGTAGTAGTGGCGGTCGAAACTCACGCATGTGCAAACATTTCAAAATAGATGTGGCAGGTGTCACGCCTCGCTCACCACTCATTGTGGTTCACCTATAAGCCCTTTCCCAGTTCAGTCTTTTTATTAGCTGATTTAGAATCTAGGCCTATCTTTAATAGCATCTACAACCGGACAGGAAAGAGAGTAAAAAAGTTGATTTCCTGTTTGTCACATCATGCAACAAGTAATTGACGAATTCCCTTTTTGCCGCTAGTTGTGGCAAATAGTCGGCCATTTGCATAGGAGAGCTCAGGTATGGGCCGACCCATGTCTAGCCACCGCAGTGCATCGTTCTTCCTCTTTTTTTCATTCTTTCCTGGATTTTCAGGGAGGGGAGGGGTCGTTTTTTCCCTTTCTCTTTATTTGTCTTCCTTTTTCCTTATATTCATAAAATTAAAACAATGTTTTTCCAAAAAATAAAATTTTCAAAAATATCTGGAGACATTCAAAAAACTGTTCATGTTTTTTTAATATTTATTCATAACTTAATTTGAAAAGTTCATTGATAGGAAAATTATGCTTTTGAGATTGGTCAATTGTTTGGCCAATGTGATGCTTTGGAAGCGTTTCATTTTTATCTGTTTGATGAGGGGTGGAAGGAAAATAATGAAAAGTTCATTGATAGGAAAAGAATGAGAATACTTAGCACACAAGTATACCAAACGAAACCTTTTTTATTATTGTATATATAAGAGGGGTTAGTTCTAAGAATGTCTGATCCCGTCCAATAGCAGGTTTACTGAGCACCAGAGAATAATTCAGCTACTTTGATAGCTTTTTTTAAAATTGTTCGGGGATTTTAACCTAAAAATACATTCACAGAGCTTTTTTTTTTTTGAGCAACACATTCACAGAGCTTGGTTGGAGTGCGAGGTCTAACTTAAACCACGGCCCAAAAAGAATCGAAAACACCACGGCCCAGTTATTATGTTCTATCAAAGCCCAAAGCCGACACACACCCACTTTCCCCGAAACCCCCGAACCCCATGGAGGCACGGACGAGCTCGACGGCGGCCGCCGCCGCGCCGCTTCCCCCGGACGATCTCCTCCTGGAGATCCTGCTCCGCCTCCCGCCGGAGCCGATCCACCTCTTCCGCGCCTCCTTCGTCTGCAAGCACTGGCGCGGCCTCGTCCACGACGCCCGCTTCCTTCGCCGCTTCCGCGATTTCCACGGCGGGACGCCTCCCGTGCTCGGCTTCTTCGACCAGGCAGGGCCTCCCTTATTCGTCCCCACCTCCGGCGGCTTCGCGCTCTCCACCGCCACCGTGTTCCCCGATGACTGGTGGGCCCTCGACTGTCGCCACGGCCGCGTCCTCCTGGACAGCTGCCGCAACCGGACGCTGCTCGTCTGGGAACCCATGACCGGTGACAAGCGCTACCTGCCGCCCCCCGCGCAGGCCTCTCATGGGAGCTTCGAGTACAATGCCGCAGTTCTGTGCGCGGCTGGGCACACCGACCACGGCGACTGCCATTCCTGCCCGTTTCTCGTGGCGTTCGTGTTCAGTCACCAGACAGATTTCATCACCTCCGCATGCGTCTTCTCGTCCGAGACCGGTGTCTGGGGTGAGATCACTTCGATTCTTGTGCCATATGCATTAAGTCAGGCAACGCCCACGGCTCTGGTTGGAAACACAATCTACTGGCTGTTGGACAACTGCAGCATCTTTGAGTTTGATTTGGATAAGCATATGCTGGGTCTGACTGAGGAGTTCCCATATGACGCGCTAGAAAGCTACGAAAGACAGATTGTCATCATGCCTACAGATGTTGGATGGCTTGGTTTGGCCGGAGTTGAAGAATTCAATCTCCATCTGTGGTCAAAGGTGGTGAGCGTTGACGGGGTAGTGACATGGACACACCAAAGGGTCATTGATCTCAAAAAGTTTCTTCCTCCCGAAGTAGTGGCGGGGTGTATGGTTCAAGATATTCGAGCGGAGGCAGTTGGCTATGCGGAAGATGCTGATGTGATCTTCATTGATGTGTATCCTAGCATCTACATGATCCATCTCAAGTCCATGAAGGTCAAGGAGGTGTCAGGCAAACTCATCTGCAAATACATTTTGCCTTACTCAAGTTTCTACGCTCCAGGTACCACCATTAATTACTTCAATGTCGCAGAGTTCACTTTAGTATTCCAAACTGTAGCCATAGTTCATTTATAGAGGACAAGTTTTCCTGGAACTTCTTGTTAAAGAATTGCTTATTATATGATGAACCGTTAATACTCTGCACTCTACTGATTATTGATTCCCGTATCCTCCTCACTGTGAAAATAACCCGTTCACAACTAAAAGATGTATGTGAAGCCCTGGCATTCTTACTTGTATGTACTTCACATTTTTACTCTTCATCCAGACGCACATCCAGCCACTTGCTTGTATCATAACTAATATGAATGAACTAGTTTATTTGTACAGGGGATACATCAATTTCTTGTTGTTCAGTTGGGCTATACATTTAGATCTAAACACTGAGCAACTGAGCATTATGTTTATTGCTAGAGTTTGGGCTTGTACATTTAGTCATGTGTCACCGTTAAAAGGTGATATGCTTACCAGTAAACATGCACTTGAGGAACAATATAGTTGTATGGTTGATTGATTGTATCCTGGCACAAATTTATAATTATTCTGTCCCTATTGCCTTGTTGTGGTATTGGATAATATAATCTCACTGGCTCATGAGAGTTGATAAATTGAGGAACTAAAGTGACCAAAAGTCTGCCTTTCTGTTTTGCATAATATACAACAACCAATCAGCGAGTCAATGCTGGACTCTTTTCTGTTTCACTTTAAGCAAGTGAACTCTAATTTATGGACTCTGGATGTTTCCTTCTCGTTTGCTTGAGCTTTGTGTTATGTTGGGAACTTGGGATTTAGAGTGGTTACTTAGTTTGTTGATTCTCTGACCCGCATTCTTGATTCTGAAGTGTAGGAAAAGTTGTTCACTCTGGTATGCCTGCATACTAAACTTCAATAGATATTAATGCACTATTCTTTTGCTGGACTTGTAACAATGAATGGGTTCACACCAAAACAATTCTAAAAATGCTTCCTGGTTAAGTAAACTACTGAATACCGTATTCTTCGTTTTGAGGCAGATGATGTACACTGTCTTGATGAATTATTTAAATCTTGCAATACATGTCATTTCTTAGTTCTTCCTTGTAGCAAAAGCTAGTATTTTGTGCAAGGTGAGATTTATAACAATCGCTTCGGTTAAGTGTCTCCACCTTTTATCAGTTGTTTTCTTGCCCATTATTGTCACTAGTTTATTAACTCATTCTTCTCATAGGAATTGCCATTGATGGTGGAAAAGATCAAGCTTAACTATTGAACAGCAGTTGAGATGACTGTGCTGTTACATCTGCTGCTACGCTTTGTTGGTTGAAGAGGTGATATGACATCCTGTGTTATTATGTGTCTATTCTTTTGTTTGCAAGCCATGGATCGATATTCTCTGCAGCGGTAAAGAAAATCTATTTCTACGCACAATACATCTAGAACCTTGAATAATGTGACTATATCGCCTAGTTTGACTTTATTCGCCTTTTCTCTTGGAGCTGTGAGACACTCCTTCTGGATCTGCACAGTTTGTAGTTCATTATGCTGATGTGCTACCACAATGCAGTTTATCATATCATACAGTTTTATATCATTTCTTTGATATCCTTTTGTTGTATAGTTGCATCAGTCACGATCTGGAGTCTTTGTATTTGAGAAAACACAATGACAGGAAGGTTTCAGTTCAATCTTCAGATATGAACTCATGCTCTCACTGTGTGGGTTCAATAAATCTCACTAGAAATCAAATGTTCTCTTGTCTCTTTGCAAACAGAGTACTACTCCTTGACAGATGGGTCGTTAACTTGCTAATTTCAGGAATTAATCGTGTGATGTTGACCAACAGCAATAGTGCTTGCTAAAATGTACTTCATCCTGTGAAAATACTGTTGATGAGAAGAGCCTGTTCAAGTTTTACTGCCCTTTGCTTGTGCATTTGTGCCTCGATGATGCGCTGCAGCACATCCGTGTAGAACGGATCTGTTAGGTTTTTTTTCTTGGTTTTTACAAGGTGTTATGCTTTCTTCAGAGACCCCTATGGCTTGTGTGTGTACTTGTCACTATGATGCCCAGAGAAAAACTGTCACATTATGTTCTTTTCTTTTGGTAATTAACTAACACTATGTTCTGTAATGCATGGAGTTCAACTCTGGTAGTGTGATGGGCATGGCAGCTGCCATCGTCTTTGCGACGAAGTGCTTTTACTCTGTGCAAACGTAAGTTCTAGCTTCAGGATTTCAGATGAGTATGCTTTTTCCCTGGCATGGAGCAGAAAGCAAAAATCTTCAAACAATCTCCAGGTTTTAGAATTGTGAACCACATGAAGCCTTTTTTTTAAAAAAAGGAGGTGCGTGCTGGCAATGGCAGCAATGGTTCGATCCAGCGCCAGCAGGCGTCGCCAGAGGTGCGGAAGGGCGGCGGCAGACCAGATCCAGTGACGACTGCTACAGAGGGTCCGGATCCATGGCTGAGCAAGGCAGCGGCGCGGGGCTCCTCTTCGTAGCCAAGGCAGTGAACTCCTGGTCATTCATGGCGACAACCTGCACGGGCAAGGACATGGGAGGGTTTGTCAAACCAGAGGGAGAGAGAGGGGAAAAAAGAAAAATGAGGGAGAGAGGAAGGGGATGGAGGTAGCAGCGGGGTTGGTCGCTGGTGGTGAGGTGCTCCGTCGTGGTGGCATAGAGGCGAGGGGGAAGACGGGCGAGCTCCTGGATGCCAACGACGCGACGAGGTGAATTCGTTGGGCGCCATGGAGGAGGAGGTGTGCTTGGGCAGGAGCACCATCGGAGAGCCTATGGAGAAAGGGGGGAGAGTGAGGGAGAGAGGAGGGATTCGGCCGAGGATATGGGGAGTTCACCTACCTTGTACTTAGTAGTAGCGAAGGGTATAAACCTGCGCTACTACTATTAACTTAGTAGTAGCGGGGGGCATAAACCGGCGCTACTAGTAAGTAGCAGTAGCGAGGGTTATAAACCCGCGCTACTAGTAAGCGTCTACCTATAAGCTTTTCCCTAGTAGTGTTCATGGGTTGCTCTGCACGGTGGAGATGAGCACTGTGGCCGAAACGGAGGCAATTCCTGCAGCCGATAGGATCCCTGCATGAGAGTGCTCGATGATCTCGACACAGGCACCGATAGCATATGCCTCTAAGACACGCCGGAGGAGGCAGCGACACATTGATGGAAGGGAGCGATGGAAAGTTGTGGGAGGCGGTGAGCGGCGCCCCTTCGAGACTGTCTCCAGCCCGCAAGCTCATACTCGAGAACGACAACCGCCTCATCGTGATGGAAGCATCCACGCCAATCCCCCAACCCGGGTGCACGAGCGGGATGAACCGGCCACCTCCAGCAATGTCGCGCAGTGCAGGAGTAGTGAGTGTATGAGGTTGGTCGCCGGGTAGGCAGGGGCGCCCAACAAGCGACGGAGCAACGAGATCCAGATATGCTTGAGGAAGAGCCTTCCTCCCTCCTATGGTCGGGTATGACCTGCGGGAAGCAAGGACAGTCGCCGTCAGTGCGGCAATGGTGAGCGGTGGTGCGGGAGGGTCCATGGGCCCAGGCTCGGTCGAGAGAAAGCGTGATGGTGACAGATGCGAGTTCTGGGACATAGCCGGTCGAAGGAGGGATGGAGCCGCCACGGGGACGAGAGTGTCGACAACAATGGCCGTCGTCGTTGGAGCGGGGTAGCCACCAGCTGTTGTGGGCATTCAGAACATCGCAGTGGCCGTTGCTGGAGCTAGGCAGTCGCCAGCTGCCGTGGGCATGGGGAGCATCAGTGACACGGGCGATGTGTGGCACGAACCTGGGCGGGTAGGTCTGGCGTCGTCGGCGGCGGCAGAAGTAGGAGGTCAAGATCCAGATCTGACCAGGAAGAAGGCAAGGATGGCAGCAGGATGACGACCGGCTTGAAGCCCGTGGGCAGCAAGGGAGGAGGCGGCGTCAGCATGACGGCTGGGCCGCCAGACAACGGTGGGGTGGCCGAGAGGGTGGGAGCGGCCGCCACCCGTGCGCGCTCGCAGGAGAGCTCTGGTTCGGGACATGAATTGAGCACTATACCCAAGAAAAACACGTTGTTTTGAGTGAAACGTGAGTTTGCGAGTGTTGTAAGGACGGAGATTTGGCCAACATGCACACCCAAAGACACGAAGCGATGGATAATCTGGTTTGACATGAAGCAATCTTTCGGTGGGAGTTTCATTGTTTATGACACGACTGGGAAGCATGTTGATGATGTGTACGACAGTGAGAAAAGCCTCATCCCAGAATTCAAGTAGCATTGAGGCACCTGCTAGAAGAGCTAAACCCACTTCGACTATGTGCCTATGCTTGCGCTCAACTGACCCGTTTTGTTGGTGAGCGTGGGGGCATGACACATGATGGGATATGCCAAGTGTTTGAAAGAAGGAATTAAGTTTCTCATATGTCCCCCCAGTCGGATTGGACAGCAATTATTTTGCTGTCAAACTTGCGTTCAACGAGTGCTTGAAAGTTTTTAAACACTTGAAACACTTCGGATCTTTTCTTAAGAAGATAGATCCAAGAAAACTTGCTATAGTCATCAATGAAGCTAATGTAGTATGTGTGTCTCTCAACAGAGCTAGGGACAGGACCCCAAACATCAGAAAATATTAATTGCAGAGGTTTAGTAGAGACACTAGTAGAGATGGGATAAGGCAATTGATGACATTTTGCTCTCTGACAAGAATCACAAATAGTTTCAATATTACGCTCACCAACAAATGGGAGCTTATTCTTCCTAAGCAAACGTTCAACCAAGGAAAAATAGGCATGTCCTAGATAATCGTGCCATCGTGTGGACGAAAGCTTGATAGCACCACAAGCTTGTTTATTTGATCTTCAAAACTCCCGAATCAAGTCCTCGAACGCATCTACCTCGATAGAGAGTTTGCCTCGTGGCCTGATCCTTGATCAAGAAGAAAAAGGATGAAACTCAATGAAAACATGATTATCAATGGTGATGCGATGAACAGATAGAAGGTTTTTGGCACTAGGGACATGCAATTTTTTACGAAGATGAATCTTACGGAAAGGGGTACGAAAAACTGAATGACCTATGTGACGTATCCTCATACCTGCACC